GAAAGATGAAACACTCATATGGGTTCTTCCTCCAACATAACTTCAGAAACTGGGACCCAAACTTGTGGAACAATCTGGAGATCCAGGAAAATGAAAGTGGGAAGGGTCAAGCCACACAAAGAGTGCTCAGTGAGGTATAGAAGGTCTGAAAGTCTAATCAAAGGACATTTTGGAGTGCACAATTAAATATGATAACTTAAAGATAGAAAGAGAACTCCAAGTGAAAGACTTCAATTGAAACCTGCTCAGTATCTCTCATGGGAGGGAAAACCATTTGCTGCTTTGCAGGTGCATGGGTATTAGATGCATCAATTTGGTCACTCTATTTGCCATCCGATGATAGCGTAGGTTAATTCAGGAGTAAACTGTCAGCCAGCTATGATTTAAAGCCCTGTGTCTTGACACAGTGGTTCTCCTAGGATTTGGCAGTTCAGATGGATTAATTCTTTAGACTAGCCTCAATGCATGCTGACAGATGTTGCTAGAGAACTAAAGAATACTTCTTCTCAAGGAAGACACAAAAAGGGCAAATACCGATGTTTTTATGATGTGTCCTTTGACGGAAATCTAAATGAGGCTGGGCAATACTAAAGCGGAAAGACATCAAAAGACCTCTCTGCCTGAGGTTCAAGCCAGAGCTGTTGAGGCTAGGGCACTGCTACCTAGGGGTAATTCATAAAGTCATAACGTTAATAATTCCACTAATTCCGAAAATTAAAGAGCTTCCTATGTATTAAGAACCACAACCTCAAGTGAACTACCAGTTCCCCATCCTGATGTCACCAGAAGTGTCAGCCAGTAACTCAAACAGCTAACACAAAGAGGGATATCAAACACACGACTCCTGCCAACACTTGTCTTAAGTTGACCATGAAGCAGGTAGTAACCCGAGACTGACAGCAATCAAGTCTATCAGAGAAGCTGGCTAAAAGCCAACAACCACCTCATCTAACTAAAGGCATTTTCTAGGTGTGGCACTCTACATTGTCCAAAACATACTAAAACTCAGAGGTACTTATAATCGGTGATCAGAGACCAGACATTTCAGCTCCCTCTGCACCATTCACTAGCTGGAAAACAGTGAAGACCGACTGGGAAGAGTCCCCATGATTTGATGGAACAGTTCCCTTCTGCAAGGGAGCAGCCAAAAGGTAACAAGGAACAAATTCCATCATTTGACTTAAGAGTTGGGACTTGAAAGGATCGGTTTCCTCATGGTTGTTCTTAAAGGTCAACACACAGTCTGTAGTGCAAACTAGAACTGAAAACATGCAAGCAACCCACACATCTTTATCTTTCCCAAGCAAGATGCTTCATAGACCCCAAGTCAAGCCAGTGCTCAGACTGTATCACCATGAAAGCACAAAAAAACCCTCTAAACCTAAACAGAACAACTTAATAATAGTTATGCTGCAATGTCCTTTAGGAGACAGCATTCTCAATTCCTTACTGGCACTAGGGTCCCATACAGGGAAGACTATTCAAGGACACTATCACCATCTCACTGTCAGAAGATTTCAACATAGCTCGAGACATAATCTGACCTTGGTCACTTGCATCATCACCTCACAAGTGCACTGAAGGAACACTTGATCCTCCAGGTCTTGGAACACTGGAGGAACATTGCAGCCTGTCTTCTAAGGATTATAGGCTATTGGGAGCAAATTAAGATTGCTTTCTTTACTCAAAGAAGTTTCCCAGCTTGAAGAACAGATAAAAGGTCAGCTAAGTTCACGGCAAAAATAGCTGAACATATGTTTTGACACAATAGCACTCTTATTAAGATGAAGCTCTTGGAAAAGGAAGTCTTTCCTCAATGGCAGCTTTGAATTGTAAGAGTTGCCAAAGAGCTAAGAACTAACCTACTTTTGACCTACTGTTTTATTTTCAGAAGAAAAACCTCACAGCAGCATTTACAGAAACCTAGAAGAGAGCAAACCATCCCTACATGTAAAACACTTCCTGCAGCAGTGCAGGAATGATGTAATCCATCAGTCATCCAGCTCAGAGTACTTCTGGATGGCTCATACGACCATGATCTGAGACCTCTGAGACTTAAAAAGACAAAGGTGGAAAACTGACTTCCACATTGAAAAAGAAACAGTGACTTGGGCTCAACCTGCTATACCACACTGCAGACTGGTTACCCTTTACACTTCACATAGGGAGCATATAGAACAACACATCACCCCCCCCAAAAATTAGAGTGATTTTTCCTTATGATCAGTTAGACCAACTAGTTACCCGTGATAACTAAAGTAAAGGCTTCTTACAATCAAAACTAACATGCTCACTTGCAGACCCAACCCAGCTTTTAACAAAGGGTCACTTTCTTTTATCATCTCTTTCACTCCTGTCACTGAAAACAGAGCAGTAAAGGCTGTTTACCATGCAGGCCTCCATCAGTGCTGTGTGCATCTCATCTGTTTTATGTTCTTGATCAGCTCCAGCTTCAAGCAAGAAACGAACCATATCTAAATGGCCTTCAAATGAAACAGAGCAAAATAAATAAGCATTTAGTACCATAAACTTTTAGTAGTACAGACAATACACTTGATGAAATCATTTACATTTTCATAGTTCGCTATTACAGTTTTTACAAGTTACCATTTGCAAAGCTGTTTTTTTAAAAGTACTCTGTAAAGTACCAAAGCAAAATGGACAGCCAGAATTCAGTCAGATACTGCCCAACTCTTAGATGAAGAGAGACCTCTCGAATTCAAGTTTCCACAACAGGAACCTTCCCTTGTAACTTCGAGCTATAAAAGACTGTGCTTATTCCTTATTCAGCTGTAGAATAACATATCATTTAAGCGTTCCAAGGCAGCACACAACCGAGGGCATTATCTTTTAGAGAGAGGTCCATGCAGAATTGAACTTAACTTTAAGCTTTTTTATCACAGCACTCACATATTGCTGAGAACCAGGACACATACATTACATCACATAATGTTATCTAACACTATTTTTAGAAGCTTCTACTGAACTTTACCAATACATGTTTTCAACTCTACTATGAATTCTGTCCTTTTAGAATCTGTCCCTTACACCAAGTTGTACATTTTATCCTCCCAATGAGCACCCTCCTCCAAGACAAGACTTAGTTTTATACTAAGTGAGCTACTTTGTTTTCCTATCAATCACCTTGCCAAAGGTAATATAAAAAATCTCTAGTCAATGAGTACCTTACATTACACACATTAAGTTCTGGGTCACAAGAGACAAGAATGCCCCTCCAACATATCCAGGAGAACTATTACTGAAACATCTACATAAGGAACTACTATTCGCGGCAGGAAACCCATGCCGAATCCAGATGAGAGTTTTCAGATGGGTTACACTAGTTTGTATCCAATTCTAACCGCAGAGGCAAAACCTGATGTTACAATAATCTGTATCCTTAAAAAGTTTCAATTAGGAGGAGAATAATAGTTGGAAATTTTATGGTGGGTCTTGGAATTAAAAACAACTAAAAACCAACCTAGAAGCACACCAGATTACCGCTGCACTAATTTACTTTCTATGGAAGCTTTACATAGCAAAATAAATTAAGTCAAAAGGCCATGAAAGTTCAAGATGAGTAACAATTCATAGACATCCTCTAAAATGACACTGCAGAAACAGTATACAGTTATAATACCAGCATTGTCACCCCATCAGGTATTCCAGAACATTCGTTCTAACTTCCCATTTTCCTAACAACTAACAGAGATGTTTTCAGAACTTGAAAGACACTTGGTGAAGGGAATTTGAATGAAACAGGGAATGCTGTAGCGGGGGAAGAAAAGAGCTGTGGTGTGTCAAAGTACTGGTTTGGACACGGCCTGTCACAAGTTTCCATCTGCAACATACCAAATACATGTCCATCACAAACAGACAGGCTTAATACTACTATACCATGGATGAGCACTTCCCAAGTTTAAAACCAAAAACCAGTACTCCAAAGCTCTTCAGAAAATATTCAAATTACAGTTGGAAGCTTTAGTTAGATAAATCCTAGCAAATAAAGATAACAAAAATACAAAACAAGGCAAGAGACAATACCTTTATAGCATGCAAGTGTAAGTGCACTTTCCTTGAACTCGTTGGAGTGAGTGTTGATTCCTGCACCATATTCCAGCAATACTCTTGCAACCTCAACATGACCTGCACTGGCTGCTTCCATTAAGGGGGTATGGCCATTCTCATTGTGGTCTTCTATATTAGCACCGGCTTTCAACAGCACCTTCACTATGTCAACAAAGCCTCCAGCACAAGCATAAGTGAGAGCTGTGTTCCCTGCAGAGAAGAAGCAGTTTACATGAAAGCCCTTTCCATCACTCACAGGAAGAGTTTTAACAGCACTGAACAAAACTAAGTACATGGCTGGCAGCAGCCTCCTACCTCACAGCAATGCTACTCCAGCCAGTGATTTCAGGCTAGATAAAAAATCCCAACACAACTATATGTGAAACAGTTTTAATGCTAAGCCAGTATTATAAATCAGGATTTTTTTTCCTTTATTGTTTCCTACTTCAGCACACAAAGAGAGATCAAATACACACAGAAATCAACAAGCAATTTTCCACACTTACTGTAGTTGGGAGGTTAGGGGGGTTTTGCCTAAGACTATCCTATAATTCCTTGAAAAACTTTTACTGGATGGATGAAAATAAACTTAAAACTAACTTAAAACTCTGGTACTGTAAAGTGACAGACAACCACATACGGCTCATGTTTTAAATGCTACAGTCAGTTTTAAGGTAAGTTCTGCTTAATATGGCTAAACATCAGGATAAAAAGCACCTTTCACAGTTCAGACACCTGATTTTTTAAAATGAGAACAGTTTAAATTCTATCTTGATATTAGCAAGATCCAGCTGCAGGTTACTGCTCTCAGCAAGGTTAGTTAAGCTGTGGTCAAGCATCAGCAATGTAGACAACATGAATGCTCACAGAATTGTTCCTCCTCTTCAGTAAAAAGCAAAAGACTGAGATAACAGGTCTTGACCAGATGTGTCCCAAGTGAGGTCTTACTGGGTCATTTGGGATTATACAGACAAGAAAAACTAAACTTCATGTATTTTTCTGGTCATCTAACACCACAGTGGTTTTCACAGGAACAGTGCTTTCCATTGCAGTTTATATTAAAAACAATCTTTAGTAACAGCCAGATAAGACTCCAAACACATCTGCTAAGATCCAGCCTATGCTTAATAGTTCGTTTTCATGTTTTCTTCTGAATGAAACTGAGACAAAACAACAGATGTTCAAAACAGCTGCACATCTTATGTGTCAGTCTTATTAGTTCTTGATGTTCCTGCTTCCCAGTTACCTGTTGAAGACTGTGCGTTGACATCTGCACAATGAACAAGGAGCAGCTTAACAATGTCCACATAGCCTCCGCTGGCAGCTGCCATTAAGGGAGTTATGTCTCCTTTGTTCCCTCGATCTTCAACGTTTGCATGCATTGCTAGTAGCACCTAGGGGGGAAAAATTCACCTTAATGAATAAATTGCAGCACCAGCATTTTACTGTTAGTTCAGTGTGAGAATGATTCCCCAGCCAGCCTGGACATCCCCTCCCAGCAGTATCCCCAGTGGTGAAGCACAATGGCACTCCCAGGACATTTGTAATTGCTACCTGCACTGTGCTCTGCTCCAGGAAATGCTGGTTTTTTACATTTGTTCCTATCTGCTAAAATCAACATGAGGTTACAGTGCAGCACTGACATTTTCAAAAGTCACAGGGCAATTCACTAACCAGAATGACAGCAGAGAAACTGCAAACTTGCATTAGTGACCACAGCACACAACAAGCACCCAGGCTTACAGGCAAACAGTTTTCTCCCTGTGCTCTTGCCTGACACCAGAACACGAAGCTGGACACTTTCTGAGAACTATCACCTGAACATCCTCACAGAAGCACAAATTCTGCCCTTCGATACACAAGTATAAAAGCTAAAAATGAAAAGAAATTAATGCACTGTTGATACAGATGTGGTTAAGAATTGAGAGACTGAGACAAGAATTTTTAGAAGGGAACCACTTGTACTGCTTGATTTTGGTGCTATTTTAGATCCTCTTGCAATGTCTGCTTGGCAGAACAGCTTGACTGCATCTAGAATAATACCAGAAAGGTAGATGCATCACAAAACACGAGGTACATTCTTCAGACATGTCCCTTAACCCTAAAGGCACATACGAGAGCATTTTCCATTAAAAAGACAAACAGTAACTGGAAGCCCACAACAAGCTGTATTAACTGATACTCTGATCAGATTACAAAATATATTACACTCAGAACAGCTAAAATGTTTACCTACGAAAGAAGCCCCTTAGACAATGCTTCACAAAGGTTTAGTAGTGATTATATGTGCTACTTACTTGTGCCAATTCATAATATCCTGCTGAGCAGGCCAAGCAAAGGAGACTCTCCCCTTCTTCAGTATGCTCATTTACACTTCTTCCTTCATCCAGCAGCTTCCGGACAGCATTGACATCCCCATCCGAGCAGGCTTCTGCCAAACTGCGACTGGAAGATCAGTTACACAGAATGAATTCAACATGAACTGCAGTAGATGGGTGGCTTTACTGTGCAAGGGTGAAGTCTTCAAGTAAAGACTTATGACTTAGCACTAAGCCTTACCAGAAAATAATACCTTACAGATTTAAGTATATACACACATTATCTCTGTTTCACTCATGGAAATAAAGACCTTGCTTATGTCTAAATGAGCTCATCCTCATCAGTTGCTAGCTCACACAAGCTCTCATATACACTAGATGCAGAGAACACTGCTCAAAACCAGTTAAGTTGTGGTGTTTGCAGTGCACAGCAGTAAGCCTCCCTGATGCTATCACACTTGGGTGGCATGCCAGATGCATGGAGGCTACAACCACACCAAACTACTGACTACAGTTATCAAGGCAAAGTTCTAGCAGAGAAAAAAAAAAAGAGCCTATTATCAAAGACCACTGATACTGAATATTGCAGCAAGACAAACTGCTGACCCCTGTCTCTCCTGTAGTGAGACTATTTCCTTCTCTGCAGTATCCCAAAGCTCTCTTGTTTTCATTGAAAATGCCAGCTTCTTAATTTCAGCAGCCATTTCAAAGAAAAATCCTTACCTTACCTAATGACATCTTAAAGGAAGAAGGAAGAGGAGCCTTACAGAAGTTTACTGTTGCTTTTCATGCACTGTTAAAAGCATATTACAGAAGTTTTCAGATGGATGAAATAAGCCAATTGACATGCACATTTTTAAACAGCAACAACAATATAATCCTACATGGAACACTACTTTAAAGAAGCCTGCATGGAACAGTCCTTAAAATGCTGTAAGAGGTAATTACAAGCTAAGATTTAGAAAGAAAAGACAAGACAAACCCTGAGTTTTTGGCATCTAAAAGCTCAGAAGTATATAATTACTACTTTAACCATCATTAATTTCTGAAGTAGAGAGAATAACTATTTCCCCTGAAATGTAGGAAGGTTCACTAAGCAAACCTGGAAACAAGGTGAGCTGAGTTTCAATTAATTTCAAACCAAGTCAACTGTCCTTTAGATCTTTGTCTATACTAAAACCAAAGCCTAACAGCAAAGACAACTGTTAAAGCACTGCTAAACACATGCGTTAACAAACCAGAGCAAGTCATGCTCAGCACCAACTCAGTTATGCTTCTCCAACCAGAAAATATGTGCAATGAATGACTGTCCCTCAGCAACCAGGAACCAACCCACAGGTAATGCCCTGGTGGGAGGAGGGGGGAGTTAATGCATAGCCTTCTGTTCTAAACAATACTGGACTGGATGTGATGCATCCTATCAAGATATTTAATCTGCAATACATGGAAGCTTGTTTCCTAAAACAAAAGCTAGTACAGTCAGATTCAAAGACCTTAAACTTCTGCTTTTTTCTCCTGTGAAAGACAGAAGTTCACTCGAATTCACTGACAATGAAGAAAATACCCATTCCTCAGGAAAGCATACAAGTTCCAACTGGTCAAAGACTGCAACGGTCGAACTATTTAATCCCCTATTTTAAAAGGAACTTATTTGTCATATACTCCCAAAATTAATTAAACTGTGCCAGCAGCTGATAGGTAATAGCTGAAGTCTGACCCGAAGAGAACATCCACTTATCACAATTGCACCATAATTGCACAGTAATCACTAAGTTTATTATTTGGCTACACAGTCCATATAGTGAAGCAATGGGATCCCTCTGAAAGCCTGCGGGGCACTCTCAGACCTGCCCCTTCCTCAGGACAGCTCTGTGCTCACAGTACGAGCAGCCCTGCTGCAACCCACATGTGACCAGCATTTACAGCTCAGGTCCTGTGTTCAGCTGGGAGGAGAGGGAAGGGATTCATGCACTTTTGCACACATACAGCCTAGCCTTTAGAAATGGGAGCCACCCAGTCCCAGAACCTGTGGGACAAATCCTGAAACACATGAATCATTCTCAGAAGATGACCTTGAGATACCTCCTATAATACAGAACTGTGAAATCAAATGTGTCCCAGGAAACAGACTCATCTCTTATCCTAGTTGACCCAGGCATCTCCAGAGGTCTCCCAGTTTGCTCTATGCTCAGGTTCCCTTTGAGATATTTCCACGTCATTTTGTAGAAGTGACAAGAATGGCACTGGAATGCTTAGGATGTTTAGGAACTTATCTGCATCACTTGTCAGAGTAGAAAATGTTTCAGGCCCCTAAAAATGCTTTGAAATTACTAATGTAGAGGAAAGCTTTTGATGACATAGGACAAACCCTCAGTTCTGTCACCATAGGAGTTAAATGCTGTCCTCAACAATTCTCAGTTACAAAAAGTTATCAGATTATAATAGAGTTTCATTTCCCCCTAAATTCCTGTGCAAGATCCCAGGCCAAATTGCTGCCCTGTAAGTATGAGTAGTCTCTTCCAGCTTTTAATACAATGAGCTAGATTCATTAGTTTCCACCAAAGTATGCTGAGGCAGTAATGAGAGAACTATCACCAACTCTTCTACAGCTAAGAATTTAACCTGGTTTTGAAACAGAAATCGCCTGTCTGGTACAAAGAAAGAGTAGCAGGTTAGAAAATAACATTATTTTGTACCTTTCTCTTACACTTCGATGCCAGTAAGCTGATGGGACAGTAGTAACCCCTTCAGATTCATTAACTTTTTCTGCTAGTAACAGAGCAGATACATTGCCAAATATCAACTATAAAACTAACTTAATTTTAACTTAAAAACATAAGCATATATTCTATAGATGGGAAACTAGGAGTGGGGAGGGATCAGTACGTACTTGTCCACTTGTCCTGCATTGTGATTGTTCTCTGCTCTCATTCGCGTCAATGCAGCAGCAGCTTCATCCAGTGCACAGCTGACAGAAGACGTCAGTCTTCGGAGAACCTCGGGATCTGCGAAGGCTTTACCATCGGCAGTGGACAATTTACCAATCCCTTCAGTGCACGTTCGTTCATCAGTCGGGTTAGTATGGAAGTCACACAAAAGAAATGCAAAGACACTACTTTAGATTTCAGCCACATGCACTATTAGTTAAAAATCATTTGCAAACATGCCAGAAAAATCAGATATTTGAAAGTAAGTAACGTTCGCCTAAGACCTGAACATTTAATCAACTTTAATCAAGCAGGAAGAAAACTGTTTTTCAGCTGGCAGCTTCATTACCTGTGCTAAATTCCCAATTCATACCTGGGGTTGGGGGTGTTCCAGAGGAATAAGGGTAAGTCCAGGGGTGAAGCCCAAAAAACCAGAAGTTTGGGCAACAGGTAGTATTCCATAGGCTTGGTTTGATATTTTCTGAATGGGACGAATTTTCTAATGTAAAATATGTCAGCCTATTCCCCCTTCCCTACCCAACTTCACCCAAAATGAAGCAGATTTGGCTTTAACAGACCTTTTCTTTAAGAGTAGGAAAATAAATAAAAAAGTTACTACCTTCAATTCCCAATAATTTAACATTCCAAACTGTACAGCTCTGGCTACAAGGACAGAAATGATGAAACAGTTTCACATGTTTTCAGTGTACTTGCAATCAATGTCCCCTTCATGCTAACATCACACAGGAGAAATGTTTCGTTAGGCTCAAGGAACTTGTTGTAACAGTTTATTTTATAAAAAGTTGGTTTGCTGCAAGAACAGCACCATAAGGTGGTCTTTATCCCTCTCGTTTATGTGGCTGATATAAAGTGATGCTACACCTGTGCAGTTTTACTCCATATAGTTCAACACAGTCTATGGTGCATATGCACACACTTGCCTCTGCAGTACAGGCAGGGCTTGTATTTGCACATACAAATGTACAAACAGTGTGAAGAAATGCACTGATGAATAGTAAAACCACCACCACTCCCCCCCGCAAAAAAAAAGAAAAAAAAAAAAAAAGTAGATGGCTACAAAAAGAAGATGGTTACTGGTTTATGGATCAGCTGCCTTCACTGCTGAGGAATCGGTAGCTTTTCAACAGAGTCAAATTAGACATAAACCTCAGGAAACAGCAAATCTTCTGAGGTAGAAGATGAGTTATTTGGTATGTGCGTATCTCTAAAACTGATTTACACCACATCTCCCAGAACCCTACTTGCAATTATTACAGACTGAATACTGAAACCATACTTCGAAAGTTTCACACATCGCCCTCAGTCAATGTCCATCCCCAGTTTGAGAGCAGCCACTTGGTTTCTCATTAATTTAAGAATCAATACTTACCAAACTTCAACCTGAAAGCAATTCTGGCACACTCTGCTATGCTGGCCTACATCCCTGCTGCAGTGCTCACACCTGCCTGCCACCAAGGCACACACCTACAATGGAGTGCTGAGGTCTACTTGGCCATCTGAAACTGAGCACTGGCCATTTCACGTGTCACTGTTTCTGCATCAAGATATCTAATTTACAACATCAGAATGAAGGACAGAACATATTTACATTTGGTGAATGTTTTAAACATTCCAGTATGTTTTATTGTATGCTGACTGCTCACACTGAAATCCTCAAGGAATAAACCACATGTGAGCAGTGCTCTTTGTATACAGGAATTAGAAAAATACTAAGAATTCATTCTCACATAGTCATCTTTCTAAGACTCGTGCTTTTAAAAACTTTAAAGTGTTGTTAACAGATGTAATTCACACCAAACTAAAGAACAGTGGAGTTACAAGGGAATTCTCACTTGCTGTGTAAGGAAAACAACTGGTTTAAGTCAGAGCACAGACTGAGCTAGGCCATCAGGATTTCTGGGTAAGTGATTTTGCCTTTAAAACTAACTTCTTTATTAAAGTAATTGAAGTTTATTTAAGTTCTTCTTTCCCCTTTATTAATTTCAGCATGCCATCCTTAAATTTCCGTAAGTCTGGTGAGCCCTGGAATAATTCCCACAATATTCACAGACACTGATTACATCCTATGCAGTACCCAGGACCACAAGTGCAGAGGGACCTCCAGGAGTTTGTAATCCGAGGATGCACAAGGAGTTGCACTGGAATCTGGCTATGTTTGACTGTCAGCATTACTCGTATAGTGACAGAAACCCTGTTCAGGAGTAGCTGATTCTACTTTGCTTTTCAAAACTACTCATTTTCACATCCATTTCATACCATACAAATCCTCTCCTGACACATACACATAATCAATACTCTTTCACCATAATTTTTTTTTACCTCACCTTTTGCAGCATTCATTAGAAAGATGGACTTGGAACAGAAATGCTATTTCCAAGTTCTTCAAAATTCTCACTCCTGACATTTAAGGCCTCATACACTTCAATGTTGCGACAAATGCAGAATCACAGAATAGTTTAGGTTGGAAAACCTTTAAGATCTAGTCCAACCATTCAATACCTGCCAATAAGAACTTGCTTATAACCTTACCCCCTCATCCCAGTCTATGAACATTTGATTATGGTCTGGCACATCCTCAAAAAAATATCTAAGTCACTTGGCAATACCATTTCTAATCAGTACATAAATCATCACACATCACAGTGCCATTATGTACAAGATTAGCCATTACTGCTTAAATAAGCATGCAATTATAAGTCTCTTTAAACACCAATATGTATTTTGAACAAGAAAATATCATGAACTAAACGGGTTGGGTCTCCCTCCTGCTCTGGATTCTTCCCAAATCAGTCTTTCTGCACTGTGTAAGACTCAAAATTCCTACATAGGAAACCATAATCCCTGTTTAACAGAAAGGGTTATTCCCAAAAGACAGGTGTGGGTGCAAATCAGAGAACAAATCATGGTGACACACACTGATCAGGTTTCCAAAGGCCTGACCAATCCTCATTCAGACTCAGCTTGTTCGTTAGCCCACCTTCAGCAGGCAGTAACAAGAGAAAAATACAATTACAGGAGCAACTACAGAAAGCAGGTACGTACATTATCTATGGGCTTCAACTGCAGCTCAGCTGACTATTACTAAACTTCTTGCTAATATTCACAACACTGAAATACAGCAGGGCTGGGTTACTCAAGTTGACTAAATGGCACATATGCTGAGTTTACAAATCTAATTTCTGTGCTCCTGACTACCCCCTTTTTACTAGGGCAAAATAAGGTACCTGAGCGATCTGTCTTACAGCTAGCCATGCTGTAATAGGAAGATTTCTCCTTTACAGCAATACAGCTCTCTAAAGGCTCTACAACAGCACCTTCCAAAGTTTTTGAACCTTAACTAGTGTCACCCAGTAACATTTCTGGGTTATATCTCGCTCGTATGGTTCCTCACTACTGTGCCGATTAAAACCCCACCTCTCTGAAGGGAGTGCCATTCCCTGGGAAGCAGGGCTCAGGATCTGCGCAACCACCACTGTGCTTCAGAGCTCACCTACTGCTCTACCCACGCTCCAAGATGTCCACTACCCGAGTAACTCCTCCTGTACAGTACAGACAGCTTGCCTGAGCAGCCTGCAGCTTGGCAGCTTCCTCAGCAGATGATTTATCACCTTATAAAACCACATAGGAAACTTTCTCAAGCAGAATACCTGTAGAGAAGAAAGAAGTCTTCCCCTTGGACAGTACCGACAAACAGAGGTTGAACTCGGGTAGCTTATGCTACTAGTACCAAGCCAACAGCAGAAAACTCTGTGTGAGCCTTTGCCATCTTCCAAATCACAATAAATAAAAGAATTCCCCTGCCAATAGTTCTGCTGGCTTCATGTGACACCAGGAGCCGACACCGGTGGCAGACAAAGCATTCATTACCATGCAAAGGGAACAATGTTGTGCCTAACTTCAGACCTGAAAGGATGGATCAGACAATCAATGGCAGTGGTACTATTTAAAATCCTGGCACATCTGAAACATCCTCAAGATGGCAAAAAGCTTTTAAAAACAGACAAATTTTGTTTGACTGGGGAAGGAGAAGAGGAAGGTGGCAAATTCCAAATCCCCGGGATAGGAAACCTGCTGGGGAGAGAGGAGACAACAACATCTCTTTATGGCAGCCACAGACTGAGAATAAACATTCTCATTGTGTAATGGTGACTATTTAGACCACGACTAAACCTTGTAGAAGTTGTTGACAGTATTTTATGTGTCACCACCACAGCTCCACAGAGACTTCCAGAGCAGCTGAGTTTTCATCTTCTACCAATCAGATTGCTGACAGCAAACCCTCACACCCAAAAAATGACATTTTCAATGCTCTCTGAAAATCCACGTTCAGAACATCTGCTATTCTCCTGTCTTGTGTTTCATGGTCTTAACCTCAAAATACACCTTTCTTGATGAATCCCCACTCCTAAAAATAACAGGAGCTCACCCACTTGAGCAATACCCACAAGTGACAGGGAATGTCTGAAAACACTGAAAGGCTACCACAACACATACGTGCCATTAAGGAAAGTTACCCTCAATCCCAACTTTTAATTTTTCACTTGCTTGACACTGCAAACTCTTAAAAATTGTATTTGCATTAACACATATTTCAATGTAGCTGTCAGCCCAGGAGCCAGAATCTTGATGACAACTGTAGCAATGAGATTTTCTTTTCCAGAATCAAAAGCCAGGAAGTACTTCTCCAGTTCCAATTAGATGTTACTGTTACTTACTGATGACAAGGGTTCCTTCTGGGGATCATCTGCTTTTACATCAGTGGGCTCAGGTATACCAAAATCTGAAAGCTCATGTCCTATCCTTCAGCACAAACATGAATTCTTGTTTAACCAGACAATACTCATTAACATTTACATTTCATTTGAGAGTTTCCCATTAGATTTCAATCCAGTCTCTCAGTATTTCCACAACTGATTACCTACTCAGGTAATTCATAACATTAGCCAGCAACTTCCACTTGTACTAAAGCTTGGAAGCCCCACAAGTAAACTCAGCAATGAGAAAACAGCTCTGCATAGACTCACAGATGGTTCTAGTAAAATCCCAATCCCCCCAAATAGTCTGCCGCTTCATATAATTCCTCTCCACAAACCCAATCC